AGTTTGGTCTTTTGGAATTTTATTAAGAGCTTGGAAATTCATATTAGTTCTTGTGACTTTATAATAAATTCTGTAGACTAAAGCTAGAGGTTGGGTACATGGCAAGACTTTATACCCTGAAGTTTTAATGTTTAATGTTAGAGTTTTTAATATGTGAGGATCATAAGGCTTACTATGAAGTATGGGTAACAGTCAAAGTGAATTGGACCATTAAACAAGCTTGACTCTATTATTCCTATGGTACTATCACTAAAGTTGGTAAATCTGGCATCACGTAGGCAAAGTAAAATAGAGGCATTTAGTCCTAACCCAGTAAGGGGTTTGACTGCTACTTGAACGAGGCCAATGTGAAGGAAATTGGTTCCATCACTCTTATGTTTCTTTATTGACTCAAGGTTTAATAATTGACATGTTTCATGTTCTTTACTCAAGGCATAGACTTGTTCAACTGTTTTCACATGGGTTGTACTTTTGAAACTTGAAAGTGACCATTTTTTCTTGTAAATTTATGTACTAGGGATTTTGGGGATATTCCAATCTTTAAAGTCAATTTCATTACAAGTTTCATATTTTATTTCTGGGAGTTTACTAATATTGGCTCTAGAACTGCTACTATTACAAGAGTTTGTTCTAAAAAGGAGACTCATTGGGACAAAGATTACTGGTTTTCTTACAAAGGGTAGGAAGGAAAGCTAAAATTTTTATAAATAGGTTCAAGGATTCATGAAAAAAATAGCTAGCAATCTAAACATGTCATCACCAGCAGATTCGCCTTTTTCGTACCACCAAGATTCCCCCCCTCCAACTCCTCCAGAATTTCAATATGAATCGACCCTGGCAACACACCTAAACTTCAATATGAATCTCCGCCATCGCCACCGCCATCATCGATACCTTCTGATGTATCCCATTATAGTTAGGACCATTAAACAAGCTTGACTCTATTATTCCTAGCGTACTATCACTAAAGTTGGTAAATTTGGCATTACGTAGGAAAAGTAAAATAGAGGCATTTAGTCCTAACCCGATAAGGGGTTTGATTGCTACTTGAACGAGGTCCATGAGAAGGAAATTGTTTCCATCACTCTTATGTTTCTTTATTGACTCAAGGTTTAATAATTGACATGTTTCGTGTTCCTTACTCAAGGCATAGACTTGTTCGACTGTTTTCACATGGGTTGTACTTTTGAAACTTGAAAGTGACCATTTTTTCTTGTAAATTTATGTACTAGGGATTTTGGGGATATTCCAATCTTTATAGTCAATTTCATTACTAGTTTCATATTCTATTCCCATGAGTTTACTAATACTTGCTCTAGAACTGCTACTGTTACAAGAGTTTGTTCTAAAAAGGCGACTCATTGGGACAAAGATTATTGGTTTTCTTACAAAGGGTTGGAAGGAAAGCTAAATTTTTTATAAATAGGTTCAAGGATTCATGAAAAAAATAGCTAGCAATCTAAACATGTCATCACCAGCAGATTCACCTTTTTCGTACCACCAAGATTCCCCCCCCCTCCAACTCCTCCAGAATTTCAATATGAATCGGCCCTGGCAACACCACCTAAATTTCAATATGAATCTCCGCCACCGCCACGCCATCATCGATACCTTCTGATATATCCCACTATAGTTAGGACCATTAAACAAGCTTGACTCTATTATTCCTAGGGTACTATCACTAAAGTTGGTAAATTTGGCATCACGTAGGAAAAGTAAAATAGAGGCATTTAGTCCTAACCCGATAAGGGGTTTGACTGCTACTTGAACGAGGCCCATGTGAAGGAAATTGTTTCCATCACTCTTATGTTTCTTTATTGACTCAAGGTTTAATAATTGACATGTTTCGTGTTCCTTACTCAAGGCATAGACTTGTTCGACTGTTTTCACATGGGTTGTACTTTTGAAACTTGAAAGTGACCATTTTTTCTTATAAATTTATGTACTAGGGATTTTGGGGACATTCCAATCTTTAAAGTCAATTTCATTACTAGTTTCATATTTTATTTCTGGGAATTTACTAATATTGGCTCTAGAACTGCTACTGTTACAAGAGTTTGTTCTAAAAAGGCGACTCATTGGGACAAAGATTACTGGTTTTCTTACAAAGGGTAGGAAGGAAAGCTAGAAATTCTATAAATAGGTTCAAGGATTCATGAAAAAAATAGCTAGCAATCTAAACATGTCATCACCAGCAGATTTGCCTTTTTTGTACTACGAAGACCCCCCCTCCAACTCCTCCAGAATTTCAATATGAATCGACCCTGGCAACACACCTAAATTTCAATATGAATCTCCGCCACCGCCACCGCCATCATCGATACCTTCTGATATATCCCACTATAGTTAGGACCATTAAATAAGCTTGACTCTATTATTCCTAGGGTACTATCACTAAAGTTGGTAAATTTGGCATCACGTAGGAAAGTAAAATAGAGGCATTTAGTCCTAACCCGGTAAGGGGTTTGGCTGTTACTTGAACGAGGCCCATGTGAAGGAAATTGTTTCCATCACTCTTATGTTTCTTTATTGACTCAAGGTTTAATAATTGACATGTTTCGTGTTCTTTACTCAAGGCATAGACTTGTTCAACTGTTTTCACATGGGTTGTACTCTTGAAACTTGAAAGTGACCATTTTTTTTTGTAAATTTTTGTACTAGGGATTTTGGGGATATTCCAATCTTTATAGTCAATTTCATTACTAGTTTCATGGCTCTAGAACTTCTACTGTTACAAGAGTTTGTTCTAAAAAGGCAACTCATTGGGACATAGATTATTGGTTTTCTTATGAAGGGTAGGAAGGAAAGCTAAAAATTCTATAAACAGGTTCAAGGATTCCTGAAAAAAATAGCTAGCAATTTAAACATGTCATCACCAGCGGATTCGCCTTTTTCGTTCTACCAAGATTCCTCCCCTCCAACTCCTCTAGAATTTCAATATGATTCGGCCATTGCAACACCACCTGAATTTCAATATGAATCGGCCATTGCAACACCCCCAGAATTTCAATATGAATTGGCCCTGGCAACACCACCTGAATCTCAAAATGAATCTCTGCCATCGCCATCGCCATCACGGATACCTTCTAATGTATACGACCCGGGACCGACCTTGAGGAAAAGGAGCGTAGTATCGACGGGAACTTTGGTTGGAGTGATTGCGGGGTGTGTGATAGGTTTCATACTACTTTTCATCGTCTACTATAGGAGGAAGAGAAGCAAACGACATGATGTGGTGGAGATTTTCCACGGAGAGCCTCCATATGAACCCAAAGGTATGAGCGCATTTTGTTATATTTATATTGTCCTTAATTACCAATCCTCATTGCACCTAACAAGAATTTAGAGGCCTTGTTACCGAAATGATTTAATTGTAAAACGCACTTACATTTTCACATAATAATATAGAATTTAGTTGTTATATAATTGCAGATTGAATCATTCACTTCTTTTAATAATAAGACATCGTTTCGATCGGTGACAATACATAAATATTTAGAAAGTTTATCTCTGTACATGATGCCTTGTGTCTGATTTTCCATCCTTCAACATTACTTGTATTATTTTGTTCGAAATATTTCATGTATCCTATTGATTTTAGTTAATACCTTTCTTTCCTTTTGGGTTCAAATTAATTTCCAATTCCCCTATCACCGAAAACAATTAAATTAAGCAGGCAGGGAAACAGAATAAAATTAGAGTGAATTTTGATACGTAAATGGCTCAATCCGTTCCAAGTTTCAAGGAAAACAATCTACGTCTATTTCTTAATTTTTGGTAAGAAAAGTTATCAAAAAGGAAAAAAGAAAAAGAAAATCAAATCTGACCAAAAAAAGAAAAAGAAAATCAAACAGTTAGGAAAAGTTGACGTACCAAAGACGAAGTATAAACTGTCTCTTTCGATTTGGGGCCCACCGCGTTAGTCTTCCCTTCATTCTCCACCAACTACCACGGTACTACCACCCATGTGACTGTTCATTTCACTTTCAGAGACCTTCTCTTCGCAAACGCAAAAAAAAAAAAAAACGGCGAATTGCTTCTTCGAACCTCGCCGGAAATGTCGGCGCCGTCTCCGGCGACCAACTCTACGTCACCTCGTCCTCCGGTGACTAACGCCACGTCACCTCCCCCTCCGGCGACCAAGGCCACGTCACCACCTCCTCCGGCGACCAACGCCCCAGCGCCTACTACTCCTTCTCCTCCGGCCAACGCCACAACACCTCCCCCTCCCCCTCCCACAGCGCCCACCGAGTCTCCGCCGCCGCCGCCGTCGCCGGGGAGTGGGACCTTGCCGACGAAAACGAATGTTGCGATTATAGTCGGGGTTGGGATTGGAGGGTTCAGTATGCTAGTTTTCGTGTCGATTTTCTTCTTTTTCTACAGAAGACGGAAGAGGCGGCAGCAAGGGAGGCCATATGAGTATCCACATGAACCTAAAAGTGAGCTTCCTTTTTTTGTTGTTCGAAAATTGAAATCTGAAAACTCGAATTTTCTTTTGGTTGGAAACTTTTGTTTATGTGAAGTTTGAAGTTTTGGTTTATTGAATTTTGATATTAATTATATAGTGAATGTGGGTGCACTGCTTAGGTTTGCACATTGGAATTGAGTGAGTTGAATTTGCAATTTTTGAATTTGGTTATGGATTTCTTGAATTATTTCCTCTGAGTTCATTCATTGGGTTTCATGGCATGGAAATGTCTATAGACATCTGGTCTTTGCCCCTAATTAATTTGTGCAATTTATGTCCTTTGATTTCTCCAGATGATCAATTTAGTGGCCAACCTCAGCATTTGCAACAAAATTATACTCCTCCACTGGCAGACAAAGTAGAAATATATTCAAAGCCTACTGATTTTCCAGCACCATCTTCAAGCAGTAGCAGCTTGAGCTCTGAGAAACCACCCTCAGGACAATCTCCTGGCATTGCCCTTGGATCATCGCAAATCACATTTACATATGAAGAGTTACTGATGGCAACAAATGGTTTCTCCAATGCCAATCTCCTTGGTCAAGGAGGATTTGGTTATGTCCATAAAGGTGTCCTTCCAAATGGGAAAGTGGTTGCAATTAAGCAGCTGAAAGCTGGGAGTGGACAAGGGGAGCGTGAATTCCAGGCAGAGATCGAGGTCATTAGTCGCGTCCATCACAGATATCTTGTTTCACTGGTTGGATACTGCATTAGCGGGGCCCAAAGGATGCTTATTTATGAGTTTGTTCCAAACAATACCTTGGAATTTCATCTGCATGGTATGTCTTTTCATTGGTTATAGTTTGCTGCCTTTCTAAAATCACCAAAATGGAATGAAAGAAAAAGAACGGTTATGCTAGGATCTGGTTTTTATTCTGCATTTCATAGCAATGATTGGAATCTTATCAAAGAAAATCATTGCAGGAAAGGGGAGGCCAACTATGAATTGGCCAACAAGATTGAAAATTGCCCTAGGCTCTGCAAAAGGATTGGCATATCTCCATGAGGACTGTAAGCCTTCTTTGCACGCTAGTTTTTTGTGTTGCTAACCATAAGCAAAATTGTTGGTCATTGTTATCTGCCTTGGAAGTCACCCACTGTTGAACTATATCTCAGGTCAGCCCAAGATCATACACCGTGACATCAAGGCATCTAATATTCTTCTTGACCATAACTTTGAGGCAAAGGTAGATAGTAATAGCTTCCCCATTTTGATACGATTCTTTTTAAACTTTCAAATGCATCAAAGTTACAATGTTCTTCCTGGATAGTTGAGCCTAATTAAGGTAGCATTGTAATAGCTTCATGGTTCATTACCTAATCTCTTAATTAACCACTAATTCCAAACCGGTACCGGTAAAATTCGAAGACATGATGAATGATATGATAATAAATAACTACTGTAGATTTGTTTGTTTTGGTCGTATCTACTTTCTTTTCTTAAAATGGAGGAAAAAAAAAGAGACAAGGAGATTCGCATTCATGTATGAGGGATAGTATTGTAAGTTCCTCACCAAAATTTTGATCCTTTTCCTGCCTTTTCAATTCTCCATGGCAAACTAAAGGAATGCATTGTAGTTGAATTGACTGGCTATCTGGATAACTTTAACTTAAAACATTCGAATTAGCACTGCTTAGCATTTGAACATGCAAATCCATCTTTAAGTCGGAATTCTTGAATGGTTTTTTAATTTGTTTTGAAATGCTCCTAAAATTAACTCGTATTGTGTATTGTATGTGATTTTTGTTCAGGTTGCAGATTTTGGACTTGCCAAGGTTTCTTTAGATACAGATACTCATGTCTCCACTAGGGTCATGGGAACTTTTGGGTAAGATCAATTGTCTGTATTAATTTACTCATAGCTTTACTGGTTCCATGAAGTCTATTTGTGGAGTGAAAATAAAACCATCTATTTTCGGGATATCATGGTTGATTTGCTAATATAGTTCCATTTTTGCTTGTTTGTAAATTTACCAAATGCAGTTACTTAGCTCCTGAATATGCATCTAGTGGAAAGCTCACTGAGAAGTCAGATGTCTTCTCATTTGGGGTTGTTCTATTGGAGTTGATAACTGGACGCCAACCAATTGATAAAACTCAATCTTTCACTGATGATAGCATGGTTGAGTGGGTGTGTAGACAATATCATCACTACTAATTTCTAGCATTTTATCAATTTGTTGTACTTGTAGTAGAGCTGTTCAATTGTGGCACCTGAACTTTACCATCATGTTTTTGTGGAGAACGAACTATAAAGCACACACCTTTGTTTAGATGCAGAGCGTAATCTCTCTCTCTCTCTCTCTCTCTCACACACACACACACACACACACACACACAAAAACACAGTTCTGTGGGATATTTCTTTGGTTTAGGGAAGTGGACAAGTCTTCTGTGTGACTAACAGTTTTTGTTTTCACCTATTGTAATGAAATCTTATTCATTGCAAGGCTTGAATGGCATGGGAAAGATGATGGACAATGTTATTGAATTTCAGGCAAGGCCTTTGCTTGCACAAGCATTGGAAACAGGCAACTTTGATGCTATTGTTGATGTAAGGTTGCAGAATGACTACAACACTGGTGAAATGGCTTGCATGCTTGCTTGCGCTGCTGCTTGCGTACGTCATTCTGGCCGACGTCGGCCACGAATGAGCCAGGTAATCTTTACAAAGTTCTGAAATTAGTTTGAGCTGCCAAAATAAGTCTAATAGTCTTGTCTTTAGCAACCGAATTGTTATAATTCAGTTGTCTTTATATGTGTATGGACTTAGAAACCCCTACAGAAGTGCTTTAAGTGGATCCTTATTTTCTTGTTTAGCAAGAGTCCAACAATGGTTAACTTTATTGCAAAGTGTTTTCCATTTTCCAATTCGATCTGATCCATTCATTCGTAGAGCTATTTACTTACTACTGTAGTCATGAGGTAATTTTTAAGTACGGCTGAAGAGCAGGTCTGTGCTCCCAGAGAGATGTGGGATTGTTGTGGATAACTTTGTGGAGAACAAAATTTGTTACCTTATTTAACGACAAAACTTGAGCAATACATGATTACACATATACAACCCTAAATAACATGTTGATTATCTAAAGTACCCCTGAAATATAAAATTTGTACCATAGTCAACACCTATCTTAGTTCTGTTCAACACTCACAGCTTTTAAGAGAAGAGTTCAAGGGACTAGAAGTGACAGTGGTGGTCTAATCGACAGCAGCTGTCACTTGTTGATCTCCAGTGGGAGGTTTGAATCCGAAGTCCCTTGTGTTAGAGGATTGGTTTGGTTTCATTGAGTAAAAGAGTGCATAACCTGCCAACAGACCCAATCTAATCTGTTTCATGTTTGGTGAATCCAAACAGACAGTTCAAAGTTCGAACCCACCTAGTTGTGTAAGATTGTGTGGGGTCGTTCTTAGTCAGATTTTCCGTTTCATTTATCTCTCCTATTACCTTGTATTTGTTCAGATTGTCAGTATGCCTACGAAATCCATTGATTCCATTTTGACTGTCCAATGCTGATTTGTGTTTTTACTCTGATATATATAAAAATTGTTCTGTATGTGGCATTTCGTTCTTAATCTTTGATTAAAAGCAGGTAGTTCGAGCTTTGGAAGGAAATCTTTCTCCAGATGAGTTAAATGAGGGAGTTATACCGGGTCACAGTACAATATACAGTTCCTACGGAAGCTCAGACTACAACACTGGTGAATACAAGGAAGACTTGCAGAAATTCAGAAAACTAGCATTAGAAAGCCAAGAGCAAGAGCAAGGAACTAGTGGGATTAGTGGGCCTAGCAGTGAGTTTGATCAGCACCAATCTGCCTCTAGTGGTGAAGGCCAACAAACCTCCCAAGAGATTGAACTTGGGAAAACGAAGAAAAGCACCCGTAATTTGAGTGAAAGCTCTTGACAACTGATCCCCAAAACCTTGGAAAAACCAATTTCTCCTGTTCTACATCCGATATCCTTCCAAACTTTCCAGAATCACACACTATACTGTGTCACGTTTTCATGAAAAAACACTTCTGATGGTACATTTGGTAGATCGAATGTACATTTTTCAGCTAGATTAATGATTTTTGTGGGAGTCGCATGCTCAGTCGTTTGAAGAATTCGAGTGTTTCTATACCTCCCAAGAGTTTGATTGAAATGTCCATATGAAGAAATCTTTTTATATATATTGAAGTTAGGAACAATTAGGAGGAATAATTATGTATGTGTTATGGTGGATTTTTCATTGTTAACGTTAACGGTTGGTTAGTGTTCAAATTTTGTTGAATCTGTACATGTGCTATTTGTTTTTATTTTTTATTTTTTATGTGTATATCAAATAAACTCCAAGTCCGATTTTCATCCCTTTTATTGGAGACCAGGATGCCGTCCAATCAGTGTCTTCTTGTTGTCACCAACTCTCATCCATTATACAAGGTACAGATTGTTAAAATAGGATGAATTGCCAAAGGAAAAAGTAATTTATGCTTGTCAATAAATAAGAAAAATATTAAGTGGAAGTATTTTATTTTGTTTTTCTTTTGGGTGAATTGGTTCTATAACAAGGTTTTATAATCAAATCTTTACAAAAATAAAAGTAAAAGTTCAACATACCGCAAACGTGGGTTACGCTAGTGGGACGGGATAGTGAGTCTGCTCATGTAGACTCAAATTTCGAGTCCTCCTTCCTTATTTTAAACGGAATTAGAATTATCTACTTCATAAAAATTGAATTGATTTGGCGAATTCTCCTATCCGTTTATTCTCTCCGCCATATATTTTACTTTTCCTATTCTCTTTGTACCATATAATAAGTAAGGGTTAATGACTAAAATGGTCCTCCAATTATTGCCCCAATATCATTTTGGTTCACTAACTAAAATTTTCATTTGAACCGTCCTTCAACTTTTTATTTGATATCAAAACGGTCCTACCATTAAAGTCCGTCAATTTTATTGTTAAATTGAGGAGTAAAAATGTCTCTATGAATTAAAATAGTAATTTATAATTAAAAATTAAAGGAAACTATTATAAAACTTAGAAAATTTTAAAAAATTGAATCTCACTAGCCACATGGCTTTTTTTTTCTTCGTGAAATTGACCTAACAATTAATACAAAAAAAATTCTCTATGTTAAATTAATTAAAAAAATTAAAATCAAATAAATATAAAAATAAAATCCACCAACATGGCTTTTTTTTGCTGACATGGACTTAAAAAGTAATAATTTTTTTCCTCTATTGTTTAAATTAATTAAAAAAAATTAAATCAGATAGATACAAAAAAATAAAATAAAAAATAAAAAATTATATATGGACGGTTTTACCCCTTAATTTAACAATAAAATTGACAGATTTTGACGATAAGACCATCTTGATACGAAATAAAAAGTTGAGGATGGTTCAAATGAATATTTTAATTAATGAACCAAAATAATACTGAAGCACCATTTCAATCATCAGCTCTAATAAGTAAAGATGTGGACGAAAGATGTGGAAGTCTTATTAATTCCAAATCAAGAAAACGAAGTTTCCAGAATTGATTCGAGTGACAAAAATGGGATATTCTCTTTTTTCAGAAAGTCCAGACTTCATGTGTAAAATCAACCAAAAAGTATGGGTACTTTTGGTATAGCAGAAAGTCAGAAACAGTGCAATTTTGTCCAGGCTGTCACTATTCGGTTAGCTCTGCTCCCATCCCAACAACACCAATACCCGCTCTAGAATATCCTCTCTCTCCTCTCTCTCTCTCTCTCTCTCTCTCTCTCAAACTTTCAAACACCAAATTCGAAGTTCGAAAAATTTCCCTTTTGTTTTTCTGGTCGCGCAAGCAAACCCTGATTTGAATTCTCCACGCCTTTGATCCATGGCTTCTCGTAGGCGCATGCTTCTGAAGGTCATTATCCTCGGCGACAGCGGGTAAGCTTCATCAGTTTCTTAATAATTGTTTGTTTTTTTGCAAATCGAAGAATTAAAATTCTGAATCTCGTTGCTTGCTTATACAAATTAAAATTCACAATTTTGGTCAACTAGTTATATGTATTCTGATTTATTGGATAAAACAAGTTGTTTTATTTCTTTTGGTTAATAGTTCAATTTTGCTTGTAATTAATGCCAGGATTTAGACATTTATTTGTTGATGTTAAAAATGTGTTTCTATGCTAATCTATGTTTTGTTTACTTTTTATTTGGCAGGGTGGGGAAGACATCGCTGATGAATCAGTACCGTCCAAAATCTAGATCATGCATTTATTTTTCTTCAAATTCTGGATTTATTTTTTGTCGGTTTGGTAATTCATTATGTTTTCGAATTTTAGGTATGTGAATCGTAAGTTTAGTAATCAGTACAAGGCCACAATTGGAGCCGATTTTCTGACCAAGGAAGTTCAGTTTGAAGATAGGTTGTTCACGTTGCAGGTGAGAGATCTCTGAGCGTTCATGTGGTTTTATTATTTGACGAATGTTATTGAATAAAAGCCAAAATCCATGTTGTGCAATGAATATTTGAACAATCATAATTGGTACCCCGAACTCTGTGGTCTGATTGGTTTGGTGTTGTTAACTCATTGTCACTTAGATTGTGACTTTTTAAATATTCTGCTTTCTTATTGAAAACCCCATTTGTTACTTTTGTAATTCTCGTTCAAAAAGTAGTTGCTTTCATTTGGTGTGGTTCATTTAATGTACCGAGGGGAGGAGAAATCCCAAGTTGAAAATTTAACTTAATTTTTGCTCTCTCAAGATCAAGAATGTTTTCTTTAGTGGACAGCTTATGATATTTGTATGGACAGTTGATCATTATGGGGTTTCGGGGTCACGAGAAAAGTTTCCACTATTTCTCTCTATGTCATTGATGCTGAGAGGGAAAGAATGACTTAAGTTCAGTGATGGCTGTTAAGGTACTAGATAAAAAGAAATTAATTATAATAGAAAAAGAAAGAATGGGAGATGAAATCTATGCTTTAGCAGTTGAAAAACTATTTGTTTCCATAAACAACATATACTGGAAAGAAACTGATTTGCTTCATGTGTGGGATATTATCTACCTACTTCTGTAGTATTGACACCCCTATCTAGAACATGCAGCATGTAGTGCAAAGTGACATGAAGCAAGTATTGATGTGAATGTCATGAAATAATTTGTAAGAGAACATTTGGGATTCATGAATGTGTAAATTAGAAGGTTTACATCTTTTATTCATTTTTACAGATTTGGGATACTGCTGGGCAAGAGAGGTTTCAAAGTCTTGGTGTGGCTTTCTATCGTGGTGCAGATTGCTGTGTTCTTGTGTATGATGTGAATGTCATGAAATCATTTGAAAATCTTAACAACTGGAGGGAAGAATTTCTGATTCAGGTAATTACCATTAGATTGGCGTCTTAGATAATCACACATATTGAAACATTGACTGAAGTTACATTTTCTGGATTTGATGTTTAGGCCAGTCCATCAGACCCTGAAAACTTCCCATTTGTCGTGTTGGGGAACAAGATTGATGTTGATGGTGGAAATAGTCGAGTGGTATGTCATCTAGAATATGGAGGTTCTATGTTGTTGTAGGATGTATGTGCAGCTGTTCTTTTCTTATAGTGCATGCATGTGGTTTTACTCTTTTGGCTGTAGGTTTCTGAAAAGAAAGCAAAGGCCTGGTGTGCTTCCAAGGGAAATATACCATACTTTGAGACCTCTGCAAAAGAGGGCTTTAATGTGGATGATGCCTTCCAGTGTATAGCCAAAAATGCACTGAAGAATGAACCTGAAGAAGAGATGTAAGTATTCTCTAGTCTCCCCTTTCGCCATGGATTTCTTCTTTTCAGTATTGAATTTAGTCCCTTGTTCATTATGTAGTAAATATCTTATATAGCGCGGCCATAATTTGAGATAATTATCTGAATAGGTGAAGACAATTCTATAGTTGATCAATTTAAAGTATTTGGAAAAAAAATTATGTTATCAGTCAATTTATTTTTTGTCAAATGATGATGGTAGCTACAGAATAAGGATAGCAATTATCTTGTTTACTCTTATCCCATGAGTTGATATGGAGAAGTACCTCTTGGTTATAGTTGCTTTTGATAATGAGTAATTATAGTCAAGTGGTATTCCCTCGCCTTTTTATTAAGGGGTTCTTGCATTCAACCCGTGGAGGGATGAAATTTGTGTGGAGGGAGGCTACCTTTTTGTTTAACCTACTTTGGCCAATTAATTAATGACGAGAGATCATTTTGTTTCGATGACTTAATAACAAGCATGAATAATGGAGCTCAAACAGTCAACACAAACAAAAGCTTGGGAAGCATGTTGGAATGCTATGGTTTTGGATTGAATTATAATCCAATCCTTCTGTACTTGACCAACAAATTCTTTGGTCCATGGTGGCATGGTCAATAGTTCTGATCTTAGCATTCGTATTGGGAAGCTGATTACCATCACAAAAGTCAGCAGGGATAAACAAAGTTTAGGTAGAAGTGCTTATCTTGAAGTAAGGGAGAGAAAGAAGAGCAGGAAACTGTTCTTGACAGCTGGGGCCCATGATTTCTATTGTTTTTGGACCACAGTCCTCTCCAATTTAACTTGAAATGGGGTGGAACGGTCTTTAATACTAGCTGCCAGATCAAGATTGATGGTACTGCACATATCATGAAAGTGATGCTACTTTCTTGAAAAATTACTGCAGAATAGTTTGGTTTTGATTGCATAGCTATTATAAAGGAACCAGCGAACTGTCCAACCAGAGAGAAGCTTGTGTGGGACCGTTATATGATGTCATCGTACTGATTTAGTGGGTCTAACCACTCAAAGGAAGTCATTTTTTAGAAAGAAGTGAAGTTCTTCATTTGAATGGCTTCCTTTGAATGGTTAGGCTTACCACATCAGCATGATGACGTGGTATGACGGTCCTACACAAGTTTTGCTTGTCCAATAGAATGTGGGCTGTGCGGTCAGAAATGAAAAGTTGCTTATGATTTCATTTCATGTTGGAAAATACGGTAGAACATCAAAGCTGCAAATTAGAAAAATATGGTTTAATGTAGTCCTTATGATTTCAGTTCCAGTCCTCTCTCAAACCAGGTTTTAGGTTTTAACCTAAAGTTGATACAGTGTAAAACAAAGCAATTGCCACAAACAGAAACAAATGACTACTTTATATTTAATGAACTTGTTATAAGCTGCCCTTCTCCCATTTTTCTTTTCCTTATCATGTGAATGTTAAATCAGTAGGAATACCCAATTTTTGATGCGGTTACTAATT